CTCATCATCACTGGTCATCAGAGTAATGCAAATTAAAACCACAATGAGATACCATCTCACACCAGTTGAAATGATGATCATTAAAAAGTCAGGAAACAACAGATGCTGGAGAGTATGTGGAGAAATAGGAACGCTTTTACACTGTTGGTGGGAGTGTAAATTAGTCCAACCATTGTAGAAGACAGTGTGGCGATTCCTCAAGGATCTAGAACTAGAAATACAATTTGACCCAGCCTTCTCATTACTGGGTATATGCCCAAAGGATTATAAATCATTCTACTGTAAAGACACATGCATGTGTATTTTTACTGCGGCACTATTCACAATAGCAAAAACTTGGAACTAACCCAAATGTCCATCAGAGATAGACTGGATAAAGAGAATGTGGCACATATACACCAAGGAATACTAGGCAGCATTAACAAGGATGCATTTGTGTCCTTTGCAGGGACATGGATGAAGCTGGAAAACATCATTCTCAGCAAACTAACACAGGAACAGAAAACCAAACACTGCATGTTCTCACTCATAAGTGGGAATTGAACAATGAGAACACATGGACACAGGGAGGGAAACATCACACACTGGGGCCTGTTGGGAGGTGGGGGGTTAGGGGAGTGATAGCATTAGGAGAAATACCTAATGTAGGTGATGGGTTGATGGGTGCAGCAAGTCACCATGGCATGTGTATACCTATGTAACAAAGCTGCAAGTTCTGCACATGTACCCCAGAACTTAAAGTATGTATATAAAAAATAGAGCTACCATAGGATCCAGCAATTCTCCCGCTAGGTATATACCGAAAAGAAAGGAAATCAGTATATTGAAGAAATATGCACTGCCAGGTTTATTTCAGCACTGTTCACAATAGCTAAGATTTGGAAGCAACCTACATGGCCATCAACAGACAAATGGATAATGAAAATGTGACACATACACAAAAAAGAATACTATTTAGCTATAAAAAGAAAGAGACTCTGTCATTTGCAACAACATAGATGGTATTGGAGGTTATTATGCTAAGTGAAATAAACCAGGTGCAGAAAGACAACTTCACATTTAATGGCCTCATTGCCTGGGGTGGCATCCAAAGTTTTTGGTCTCATGACTGAGTAAATCAAGGATGTGGACACATGAAAGGTGAGGTTAGAACAGAAATTTAATAGGTGATAGAAAGATAACAGCCTCTTGCTGCAGAGAGGGGTCCCTAAAAGGGTTGCCATTCCACAGTGAAATGCAAGGGTTTTTATAAGTGAGCTAGTGGGAGGGGGTATCTTACCTATATAGGACAAGAAAAACCATTTAGGATTAGGTGTGCCATCTGCATAGAGTGTGAATATCTGGCAGCCCCTGTCCCGACCTTTTATTACCCCGGCAGGTCCTTGGCCTGAGCTACTTCATGTAGCTTATCTCTTTCCTACTGTGCATGTGCTAGAAAAGGGGAGGTGGTGCCCTCGTGTTTCACATGCTTGGCCCCAGGTAATCCTTTCTACTGGTGCAACTACAGACATTCCCCTGAGCAAGATTCCAGCTTCCTTATCTATGTTTGCAGCCTGATCTTCCAGACTGCTCTTTTTCAGAAGAGAAGTTCTGCCAAGGACTCTTTGCCTTGTCTGCCTAGCTAGTTTCTTTCTACCTCCTCTCTCAACATGTTCTCACGTATCTGTGGGAGCTAAAAATATTTAAAAAATTGAAATCAGTGAGATAGAAAGTAGAAAGATGGTTACCAAAGGCTGGAAATAGTAGTTGCAGGTGGAGTGGAGAAGGAGGGATGGTTAATGAGTGCAAAGTAATAGTTAGAAAGAATAAATAAGTCCTGGTATTTACTAGCATATCTGGATAACCTTAGTAAAAACAAATTTAAAAACCCACAAAACTTAATTGTATATTTAAAAATAACTAACATAGCATAATTGGTTTGTTTAAAACATAAAGAATAAATGCTTAAAGTAATGGATATACTATATACCCTGACATGAATATTACACATTTTATGCCTGTATCAATATGTCTTATGTAATTCATAACTGTATGTACCTACTATGTACCCACAATATTTAAAATTTAAAAACTAAAAAGAAGCCTTAGCCATAAAAGTGAAAGATCTCTACAATAAACACTATAAAACACTGATGCAAGAAATAGAAGAGGACATCAAAAAATGAAAAGATATTTCATGTTTATGGTTTGGAAGAGTGAATATTGTTATAATGTCCATACTACCCAATACAATCTGCAGATTGTAATTTCTATCAAAATACCAATGACATTTTTTTTCACAGAAGTAGAAAGAGCAATCCTAAAATTTATATGAAACTACAAAACACCCAGAATAACCAAAGCCATCCTGAGCAAAGAGGTAAAAAACTGGAGGCATCACATTACCTGACTTCAAATTATATTACAAAGCTATAGTAACCAAAACAGCATGATACTGGCATAGAGACAGACACATAGACAGAGAAAACAGGATAGAGAACCCAGAAACAAATCCATACATCTACAGCAAACTCATTTTTGTTGAAGTTGCCAAGATGATACATTGGGGAAAGGACAGTATCCTTAATAAATGGTGCTGAGAAAACTGGATATCCATATGGAGAAGAATGAAACGAGACTCCTATCTCTCAAAATATACAAAAATAAAATAAAATGGACTGAAGACTTACTTCAAACTATGAAATTACTACAAGAAACATTGGGGAATCTCTCCAAAATTCTAACAACTCAATAAGAAAAAATCTAATAATCTGATTAAAAAATGAAAAAAATCTAAATAGCCATTTCTCAAAAGAAGACATCCAAATGGCAAAAAGGTATATAAAAAGATGCTCAGCATCAGCTCATCAGAGAAATGCAAATGAAAACTACAATGAGATGTAATCTCACTCCAGTTAAAATGGCCTTTATCCAAAAGACCATTGGCAAGGATGTGGAGAAAAAGAAATTCTCATACACTGTTGGTAGAAATGTAAATGAGTACAATCACTGTGGAGAACAGTGTGGAGGTTCCTCAATTAAGTGAAAATAGAATTACTACTATATGATCCAGGAATTCCACTGCTAGGTATATACCTCAAAGAAAAGATATCATTATATCGAAAAGATATCTGGACTCTCATTTCTATTGCAGTACTGTTCACAATAGTAGATAAATTTGGAAGCAACCTAAGTGACCATCAACAGAGAAATGGATAATGAAAATGTGGCACATACACACAAGGGAGCACTATTCAGCCATAAAAACAAAGAGATTCTGTCATTTGAAACAACGTTGGTAGAATTGGAGGTCATTATGTTAAGTAAAATGAGCCAGGCACAGAAAGACAAATTTCCAATGTTCTCACTTATCTGTAGGAGCTAAAAATAGCAAAACAATTGAACTCGTGGCAATAGAAAGTAGAATGATGATTACCGGAGTCTAGGGAGATTAGCCAGGAAGGAGAGATAACATGAGGATGGCTAATTGCTATGAAAATATAGTCAGAATGAATAAGATCTAGTATTTGATAGCACAGCTGGGTAGCTGGTCAACAATAATTTATTGCACATTTAAAAGTAATCAAAGGAGTATAATTAGGTATAATTTTATTGTAACACAAAGAAATTATAAATATTTGAGGCAATGGATACCTCATTTACCCAAATGTGATTATTATTCATAGTATGCCTGTATAAAAGTATTTCATGTAACCCATAATATATACATCTACTATGTACCCACAAAACTTAAGAATATATAAAAAAACATAATGATTAAAAGCAGTTTTTGTTTAAAAGAGTGGAAAAATGAACACCTGGAAAATAGCAGCTGTATATTTTGTTAATATTTATAATTATATAGAAATCATAATTACCATTGATATAAAAAAGATTATTATATTATTGTAATGGAAGTCAATGTTTCCAATTTAACCATTCTGGTAATTATGTAGTGCTGTCTTAATACTTGTGTCTTAATTTGTAATTTTGTGATCACTGTATATATAGTCTAGTATAAAACATAGAGAAAAGCAACATATGTAGGCATAATGTACTTTTCTAACTCAGTGCAAAGTTAATCCAAGGCAATGTATAAATGTCTACATGAGACTTTAATATAATAAGATATTAGAATTTAATCAAAACTTCAGGGAAGAGTAAGTTTGGTGTGAAACTAACACCTTGGGGAAAGATTTCCAGAGAAGGTTAGATTTGAATTGGAATTTTGAGAGTTAATCCTTTGGGTTTAAAATATAAGAGAGAATAAACTAGGAGGGACATATGGTGATTCTAAGGAATAGAATTATTGCAAATATGGCTTGTTTTTAAGCAATCTTGCTTCTCTTTTAACTTCTTGGTAATTTGAAAAGTTCCTATGTGACATCTGCATGATTGAATCAGAACTAAGAACACACTAATGAAATTCTGTGAATGACAGAGTTAAATAAATTGTGGAGACTAAAGTGCTGAGTTCAGCAGATTTCCATGGTTTTTGGAAGTCACAGAAATGTTCACTTATTGGTGTATTATCTCTGGAAATGCTTGGCTTTCATATAAGACTAATTTTATTATAAGAATGTTTCATTAAGTTAAAAAGAGTAATTGAAAAGGATTTTTATATGATTATAAAGGTACACAAATTATTCATTTAGTTTATAAGCTTGAAACAATTATAGTCCATAAACTAATTCACATATTGATTTTATGTATATAACATATATTATAAGGCTGATATAATATCAGCTGTTATACATATATTTCTAGAATAATAAATAATGTATTAAGGTAAGAAAAATATTCAAAAGCACTTAAGCAATATGTTTTACAAATATTTAATCCCATTTTACAAGTTGATTGATTGTTATTTTATTGATTGTTTCTTTTGCTGTGCAGATTTTTACTTTGATGTAGACCTACTTGTTTGTTATTGTTACCTGTACTTTTGGTGCCAAATCCGAAAAAAAAAAATCATTGTTAAGACCACTGTCAAGAAACCTTTTCCTTATGTTTTCTTTTAGGAATGCCACAGTTTCAGATCTTACCTTTAAGTGTTTAATCCACTTTGAATTGACTTTTGTGGATGATATAAGAAGAGAAGTGTCCAACTTCATTCTTCATATATGGATATTCAGTTTTCCCAGGACCATTTATTGAAGAGTCTATCTTTCCTCTATTGTGTGTTCTTGATGTCTGTATCAAAAATTATTTCACAATATATGTATGGATTTATTTTGGGACTTTGTATTTTGTTCTATTGGTCTGCACGTCTGCTTTTATGACAGCATGATGCTGTTTTGATTACTATAGCTTTGTAACATAGTTTGAAATCAGAAAGTTTAATGATGCCAGCTTTGTACTTCTTGCTCAAGCTTGCTTTAGCTGTTCAGTATCTTTTGTGGTTCCATACAAATTTTAAGTCTTTTTTATTTTTGTAAAAAACACCATTGGAATTTTGATAAGGATTTCACTAAATCTGTAAATCACTTTGGGTAGTATGGATATTTTCACAACATTAAATCTTCCAATTCATGAACATGTGATAGCCTTCCATTTATTTGTGTCTTCTATAACTTGTTTCATCAATGTGTTATAGTTTTCAGTGTACAGATTTTTCATCTCCTTATATAATTTTATTCGTATGTATGTGTTTTATCAACTTTTATTTTACATTCAGGGGTACATGTGCAGGTTTGCTACATAGGCAAACTCGTGTCATGGGGGTTTGTTGGACAGATTATTTCATCACCCAGGTACTAAGCCTAGTACCCAAGATTTATTTTTCTGTTCCTCTCCCTCCTTCCACCCTCCATCCTTAAGTAAGCCCCAGTATGTGTTTCATGAGTTCTCATAATTTAGCTCCTGCATTTGTTTGCTAAAGATAATAGACTTCAGCTCCATCAATGTACCTACAAAAGACATGATTTTTTAATGACTGCATAGTATTCCATGGTGTATGCATACCACATTTTTATTATCCCATCTGTCATTGATGAGCATTTAGGTTGATTACATCTCTTTGCTATTGTGAATGGTGCTGCAGTGAACATTTGCATACATGTGTCTTCATGGTAGAATAATTTATATTCCTCTGGGTTTGCTGGATCAAATGGTAGTTCTTATTTTAGCTCTTTGAGAAATTACTACACTGCTTTCCACAATGGTTGAAATAATTTACGCTCCTGCCAACAGTATATAAGTGTTTCTTTTTCTTTGCAACTTTGCCAGCACCTGTTATTTTTTGACTTTTTAATAATTGTATTCTGACTAATGTAAGATGATATCTCATTGTGGTTTGAATTTCTCTAATGATAATTGATGTTGAGTATTTTTCATATGATTGTTGGCCACATGTGTGTCTTTTTTTGCAAAGCATCTGTTAGAGTCCTTTGCCCACTGTGTAATAATTTTTTTTTCTTTTAAACTTGTTTAAGTCCCATATAGATAATGGATATTAGACCTTTGTCAGATGCATAGTTTGCAAAAATTTTCTCCCATTCTGTAGGTTGTCTGTTCACTCTGTTGACAGTTTCCTTTACGGTGCAGAAGCTCTTTAGTTTAATTATATCCCAATTTTTGCTTTTGTTGAAATTGCCCTTTGTCTCTTTATCATATAACCTTTGTCTATTCCTATGTCCAGATTGGTATTACTTGGATTGTCTTCCAGGATTTTCATAGTTTTGGATTTTACTTTAAGTCTTTAATCCATCTTGAATAAGTTTTGCATGTGGTGTAAAAAAAGAGTCCCAGTTTCAGTCTTCTGTAAATGGCTACCCAGTTATCCCAGCACCATTTATTGAAGAGGAAATCCATTGTTTGTTTTTTTCAGCTTTGTTGAAGATTTGATGGCCTCATTTCTGAGTTCTCTGTTTTTGTACCAGTACCATGCTTTTTTGGTTATTATAGTGCTATAGTATATTTTGATATTGGGTAGCATGATGTCTCTAGCATTGTTCTTTTTGCTTAGAGTTGCCTTGGCTATTCAGGCTCTTTTCTGAGTCATATGAATTTTAAAATTGTTTTTGCTAGTTCTGTGAAGAATGTCAATGGTAGTTTAATAGGAATAGCACTGAATCTGTAAATTACTTTTGGCAGTATTGCCATTTTAATGATATTGGGAGTTCTACCTCAGGGAGATGTAACACTGCTACTAGTAGCTGGCTGGAGTTCCAAGCCAGTGGGTCTTATCCTGTGAGGTGTGATGGAAGCTGAACCCGCAGATCATTGCTAATCAGCCCCTGGATTCAGCCCCTTTCCTAGGGGTATATAAAGTGATCTAACCTCCCACTTTGCCAGAATTGCAGTGACTTGTGCTGGAAAGTCCAGCTATTTAAGCCTTCTGGGGAGCCTTACACTGTTTGTGGGAGTGTAAATTAATTCAACCATTGTGGAAGATAGTGTGGTAATTCCTCAAAGACCCAGAGCCAGAAATACCATTTAACCCAGCAATCCCATTACTTGGTATAAACCCAAAGGACTATAAATAATTATATTATGAAGATGCATCCATGTGTATATTCATTGCAGCACTGTTCACAATAGGAAAAACATGGAATCAACCCAAATGTTAATCAATGACAGGCTAGATAAAGATAATGTGTTACCATGAAATACTATGCAGTCATAAAAAGGAAGAAGTTTGCATATCCTTTGCGGGGACCTGGATAAAGTTGGAAGCAATTATCCTCAGGAGACTAATGCAGGAACAGAAAACGAACCACCACGTGTTCTCATGTATAAGTGAGAGCTGAATGATGAGAACACGTGGAGGGGAACAACACACAATGGGGCCTGTCAGAGGGTGGGGGATGGGAGGAGGGCGAACATCAGGAACAATAACTAATGGATACTGGGCTTAACTTCTAGGTGGTGGGATGACCTGTGTAGCAAACCACAATGGCACATTTTGTTGTTGTTGTTGTTGTTGTTTGTTTGTTTGTTTTTGAGATGGAGTCTTGCACTCTCGCCAGGCTGGAGTGCAGTGGTGCGATCGTGGCTTACTGCAACCTCTGCCTCCCGGGTTAAAGCAATTCTCCTGCCTCAGTCTCCCAAATAGCTGGGACTACAGGCACGGCCGCCACATCCAGCTAATTTTTGTATTTTTAGTAGAGATGGGTTTCACCATGTTGGCCAGGATGGTCTCAATCTCTCGACCTCGTGATCTGCCCACCTCAGCCTCCCAAAGTGCTGGGATAACAGGCATGAGCCACTGCACCCGGCTGGCATATGTTTAATCTACGTAACAAACCTGTACATACCACACATGTACCCCTGAGCTTAAAAGTTGAAGAAAAAATGTACTTCTCAACTAATGTGGGATTGGAGCATCACATTAGAAACTCAGAGGAGGACATTAATTCAGAAATTTTGGAACAGAAATAAGCTAGAAATTGATATCATGCATTTAATAAAGACCTCTACATGACAGCCCTGGTTTCCAAATTAAAATAAAATGTAAAAAATACCTACAAACAATGTTAAAAAGAAATGGGGTAAATAACACAAAAGATAATGAAATATAAGAGAGCAGTTAATAATAGACAACTATTCAAAACTATTATCCTGATGAGGGAGTCTGTTTTATGGACAAAGACAAATGAATAAAATTGACTTAAAATATTGGAAATTACACTACATCAATAATCAGGTAATCTTTAAAAAGTAGGTGACACAAATTGTTGCCAAAGTTCTATATTTGGGATTTGGGGTAGAGCGGGTATGAAATATTAGTAACTGTATTCTGAAGTATAATTATAGTAAATATGTTTCTGTTACCTCAAGTTTCTTAAAAAAACATACAGAATTGTCTCTTAAGTAGATTACAGACTAGTTCATTTAAAACAACTTTTAAAAATAAAATCATAACAGATTTTCAGTTATATACTTTTTTGAAGAGAATGAAAAAGAGTAAGCTTCCTAAATTATTTGACAAAGCTGGTATACATTAACATGCAGACCTGTCAAATAGAGCACAAAAAATACAACTTTGAAATGTATGTAAGAATTCTTCATATTAGTAAGTAGAATTTAAAATCACATAAAAATTTGCTTCTAGTCCAATCAAGTAGAACAAAATGGTACTTTAATATTATAAAATGTATTAGCATAACAAGATGCAGTAATAGTTCCAATGAGAAACACAATGATAATAAACCCAATTGACACTGTTAAAGTTATTACATACATTTCAAATCCATTTCTAATTCAAAAGTTAATCAGAAATAAAATGTCTGTTTAATATCAGAAATGCTAACTTTGAAAAAGAAGGCATATTAGAAATATTTATTTTCATGGCCAGAGAGAATATTACTCTTTATGCATAACCATAAGATGAGTCCTACAGTACATGTCCTCATTACATAACTATGAATTAAACCTAAGGAACTATGCTCAAACGAGCTGGTCCCTTTTGTTTGATCCTTGTTTTTTCTGGTACACTTGAAATTGCAAAGGCCCATATGGGTAAGAGTCATACCTGAACTTGGTGCTATCAGCTGAAGGAGATTCGTAACAATTAAATATCTGAAAGAAGATAGTCCTGCAGTTTCCATTACACCTGTGGTAAGAAAAGAGGCAAGTTCAGAAACAGTGAGAACAGGAGTAATATGTCACAGATATCATGTATCTCCACATCTCTCTGCAGTGAGTAACTGTCAGAGAGAGTTGCCAGATAAAATGTAGAACCTCCAGCTGAATTTCAGATAAGCAATGCATAATATTTTAGTGCCAATATTTCTTGTACACTATTTAGCATCATATAATTTTTATTTTCTAAATCTGGCAACCCTACTTGTAAGAATATTCATATAATGAATGTCATAATAAAATATGATAAAAATTACCACTTCCAGCCAGAGGCTTCTTTCCCATTAAAGGATTTCTTCCTCCCAAGCTAGACGTCATTTGTCTTCTGGTGTTGTAAACTTCATCAGATGTACCTGCTTCTTCAGAGAAAGTGGCAGCAGGTCTAGGGAATAGGCCCTGTTCTCCAAAGCCTTAGGAGCCTACACACCTGCCACTTTTAGTTACATTTAGGTTCAAAGAAAAGTTTGAAGACAGATTTAACTTTATTATTTTGGTGGGATGAATCAAGTGGCCACTTTACAAGAGACTATGCCTTTCTTTTCTTTAGTTGTTGCAATTCCACTGAATTTTCTTCTTCTGAAGAACTCACAATTAGAGATAGATGTATGGCTCTATTTGGCCATTTAGAACAAAGGGAGAAATAGAATTGTATA